TGTGGTACTGCCACTCTCATTTATTTTTAATGAGACTTTCATCTACATGTGCAAAGTATCAAACTTGACCCTGAATTGCTGGTGATAATTGTGCTAAAAGTTTGTAAGCTTGGAATTGTTTGAAAGAGATCGGAGTTACGGTATAGCGCTTCAGGACAAACTGACTAGAGGAAGTAAATGCCTACCTGCCATGACAGCAAGTATCTTTGCAGCTCGGTAATCCTTGGTCTTAGGAGCAACAAACATGCAGTGGTCCTTGTTACACTCCACAATCTTCCTCTTTGCGTGAGAGCACGCAATGCGTCCGATGGACACGTAGGTGTAGCACATGATGCCAAAAGGAATGAAGATCGCGAGAAGGGGCAGAACGATGGCTGTTACTAAGTGGCTATGATAGTTGAGCAGACAGAAAGTGTACTGTGGTAGATATGTGTAGGCCTCCTGGTTTCCTTCAGCAAAGGGAAACAAGGCATTTAGTGTTGCCCCAATCCAGATCAAAGCAGTTGCCATGATCGCCCGTCTCCGGCTGACCAGCTGGTGGTATTTCAAGGGACTGTTGATGGCGATGAACCGCTCCAGGGAGATGCAGGCAAGGGTCCACGTGGAGGCAGAGCAGAGGAGGGCGTAGAGGAAGCCCAGGAGGACACAGAGGGCCTGCCCATAGGCCCAGCCAGTACCCAGGCAGGAGCCGGCCGCAAAGGGGAGCAGCAGCAGGCCGGCTGCAAGGTCCGACACTGCCAGGTTGAGCAGCAGGCCACTGGTAATGGTACGGAGCTTGTGGGAGTGGACGATGACCTCAATGACCAGGGAGTTGCCCAAGATGATCAGGAGAATGGTCAGGATGTGCAGGACACCGATGAACACAGCAAACTCACTGTCCTGGAGCTGACCAAGGGACTCGTTCAGATTTTGAGTGAGATTCATTGCCTGCGACCAGCGATCACAAGTTGAGACATGAGAAGGGCAGTCCTCTCCAATGACATTACTTGGAACTGAAGAGTAATACAGATGAAACAAAGACATTGTATGTGGGTAATTCCAGAAATTAGGGGTCCAAAAGTGTGAACTTTTTGGGTCCCTGTGACCTTGTTATTTGACATGGAAATATCACCAGAATTGATTTCAGATTATTACTATTTGTTTGGCAGGTAATTTGCATTAATTCATCACTCTTGGAAATTAGAAAATGTGTTGTGAACTTAACAAAATTATATGCCGATGTGACAGGGACATGAAAAAACTGACCCCTAATTTCTGGAATTACCATATATGTCAGACATTCGATGCTTGCCATTTTCTGTTGACGCAGTTTTTAAGACACAGGTTTCAAATGATAGTACTTGGGACAGAAGAGTAATGCAAATGAAACAACTCCATCGTCACCATGAGCTATTTCAGTATTTCACAAAGCAAAATCACTGGGGAACAATCCACTTGCTCATTTAGGGCCACACTACTTGGGCAGATCTCGTAGGCACATCCAAAAGACCCCAGACGTGCTTTATTTTGGGGTATGCACTGTTGGATTACTGAACTGGCTCATTGTCAGTGATGCTTCGAATATTTGTTTTAGCTCCTTCCATGTACATCATTTTGCGAGGAAACTTCTTGGAGTGAACGGTAAACTACAAATGAGATAATCTCTCTGTCAGACTCATTCATTGATGATTACGATATTTTCTCACTTTGTGACTTTCTGTGATGACACAAAGAGTTTTCCGGACACAGGTTTTTCTCGGACATTGTAATCTCTGCAAAGGAACCTGATATTTCGTCTTTTCCTTCATTTAATCAATAACAGATTAATTCACAGAAATTTAACAGCACCAAAACAGCCGTGTGGTGAATAATGTTTCCTGTCTGAAAGCAATTTGTACAAGCAACATGTACACAGGAAACCTCGTTTATGTAAAACCGACCAGAAAGAGAACTCGTGTTACACTGTATATACACAGGTTTCTTAATACAAGAAGTCAATGCAAACAAACAAATGTTTGCTCCATGAGCTAGAACAAATTGCGCGCTGTAATGAAAGGCACGGCTGCTCATTATGCGATAATTCATTTCTTTCACAAAGTAAATTATCAACCAACTTATGTGCCTCCGGACATCTGTCAGGCTGCTGGAGGTTCGCCAAAGAACTTTGCTGATCGACCTGAAAGTGGGATAATGACTTGAGGGGAGGATAAATCGTGATCAGAGCGGGCTGATGAGCTTGTTGTACCCTCATACATGTTTGTTTTCTGTGAGTGAGAGGCAATCCTTTGCCTGTTGGCTAAAACGTTGTCATAATTGCATTCATTGCCAAATGCAACCTGCTGCAATCTCGGAATGAGATTTCAAATTTTGCAGAAAGTTAACTGCAATTTTGTCTGCTCCTTTCATCAAAGTCCAGAAAAACTTGTTCAATGTGTCTTAATTTATTCAGAAAGTTGTCATGCTTGGGTGCAGGGTAAAATGGTATGAGCCTTTATGGTCAGAAAGATTTCATGACATGGCTAATGGCAGCACCATTTCTAAGAGACAAAGGCAAGTGGGATGGAACCTGCTATCTGTCCCTGAATGAACAATGGACGGCTGCCTGTGCATTAACCTTTATCATATGTGATTGCATAAAATGGAAAAAAAGAAAGCACACACAGACAACACAATATATCATGTTCATCCCGTAAAGTAAAAAGCCGTTCCTCCATGCAGAAATACATGACTTTGCTTGTCAATAAATACTTTTTTTTTTACCTTTGTTTGAAGTTCTGTTACATGTAGTGCAGTGTGGAAGCATGCGCCACAGTCTTCAGTCTGGCAAATTACACAATGACCGTTACATCAGCGGTCTGCAACACAAGTCCGTGTATTGATGAGTCAGTTTCCACTTGACACTCCACCAAAGACTCTCCCCTTCTTCATTTCCTCAGACAAGGTAGCGCCGTTAATCCGTGACGCCGCTGTCTGCACTTGCCCAGTCGTGGGAGGGGTTGTCTCTCCTCAATCCCTTGAACCGGAGGCTGGCTGTTAATTACTACTGTGCAGGAGCCAGCGTGCGCATCCTGCCCCTTTTTCAGGCAGGCTGGGCCTTGGGTAACCACTCGGTTGAATGTGATTGAATTTCTCGGTGATTTGGACTAGCCGGACTGGTGAAGCGTGACGTTAGTACTTGGTAAAAAACTGCACACTGCAAATGGGTAGCCAAATTACATTGAAATTGGGGTAAAATTCTGCTTCTTTTGGGTTCAAACTTTTCCGAGTTTCGTTTGGAAATTCTCATCTTGGAATCCAAACACCTATAACTTTGGACATGAACATGCGTGTGTTTTTGCTATCTTTCCTTGTGCAGGCATCCTCTCCATTGGTGTATATTCTGGAAGCAGGTGCCTTTACTGTTCTTTCATAAGGCGAGAGTTTATTTCTTTTTAAGTTGACTCTTGGATCTTCCAACCCACTGGATTCAGAACTGGGAAAATAAGAAATTTTTTTATTTTGAGAAGTCTCGGATCACCCGACCAACAATTTACCAATATAAATGTAAACAAAAAATGAAAATCTCTGATTTTAATTTTTTTGAACTTTGGTCCTTTGCTGCCAGCAGTGGTGGTAAGGGATACTTCATTTTTCTTTTTTTTTGTATTCTTCTGATTTGAAGACCCTTATTTATTTTTCTTGAGACCATAGAAAAACTTTTTGTGTGTTTTAATTCCCTCCTCCAAGATTTACCTTTAGAAAACCTGAGCACCAAAGTATCAGAAAATGCTCGCCCAATTATGAATTTGTAGGGTTTTGTTCAGAGCTGTTGATTTCAAGCAGGCTTGAGAAGATTTATTTCAACATGTGGAGGTTGTACCAAGGCTCATCCAGTAATGCAAGCCTTCTGTGTGAAGGTGTTTTGTTGAACATCGATTATGGTGACTTGGAAGGAATCGTGTCAAAACTGGCACGGTTTGATCATGTTCATTATCATGCCTCGAAGGTACGCCCCTGTGAAATGAGTGGATGTGTGCAGATCGTCACCACTGATGTCATTGAATTGCATGTACATGTAGCTGTATCTGTCCAGGCTGTCCCATGTTCTCACTCTAAATCAAGTTGGGTGTTGCTCCTTATGACAATTGTTCACACAGGGGAAATAACAGCATGTACCGGTATTTAAGAGTGACTATCATCCAAGGCTGTGATGTTCAGGAAAGGCATTTTGGGGGCATAATTGATCAAATTACAAGACGGATCAGTTGATGTCCGGGGAGACCTTTGAGTGCCCAGCCTTGTGTTAATGCCAAATCTGTAGCCTCAGCGGCACTGGTCAACCCGTGATTGGTTTGGATAATCAATAATGGAGCATTTTTCCTCGTGGATGCTGATGAAGTTGTGGCTTGAGCGAGCCGGTGAAATTTCCATTATCATGGCTTGGTTGTTAGGGCTCCTTGCAGTGCTGTGCTGGTGAAAGGTTATACGCTTTGGTGGTGGGGAAGGCAATAAAACTGATTCAAGCGGTGTTTCCACTCACCCAAAATTGGGGAAATTTTTGTGTTTGGGGGAAATTTTTCCGGAAAGTGAGTAATTTTGGGAAATTCCAGAATTTAGGAATTTTTTTTATTCTAATCAGACAAACAAAACCTTTTTCTCCATTCCCCTTGTTTTTCTTGAAGCAGAATTCCATGTTTTCATACCTCTGAAAATGGTACACGACCAGCCATAGAGTGCAGACTAACTGTACACAACACACACTCCCAGATCAACCCCACACAGCCAAGCCACGGCTTCACACAAGTACACCCACATGGCATGCATAGGCATTCATGTACATACAGGTACATGTATGCATGATGAATGGTGGATCTCTATTTTACCATGGAAGAAGGAACATTATGGAGATATGGTTTTACCATTATTTTTATGTTCGCCCGTGATGAAACAACTACAAATAGCATGCAGGAAGCATTCCTGAATCTTTCGGGAAATGCACGTACCCATCAAATTTCAGGAAACTTGGGACCTTTTTTCAGGAAATTTTTTGTGGACGTTTGGAAACACTGGATTATTAAAGGCCCCAATCCCAAAAAGTGTGTTTGCATTCATTCACTGCTGTCTCCTGAGATTTACAGCAAGTTACATGTATGTGTAACAAATTGCCATTTCTTTGTCCAAAAAGTTATCCACGTTTTAATCTTACTGTGTACAGGACTACTGTATTTTTTTGACATTTCTGAAATGTTTTTTGACAATCTGGCCTGGGAAAAAAGCGATTGCCTTTTCATCAGCCTCCCTCCCCCACAAAAGCCAGTCCAAGATTACTGGATAGGTTTGTATGAACTCTAATGGAAGCACTGCATGTGACTTATGTGTAGTGGGGTACAAATTCAACTATTGATTGTCTGACCTAACGGCAGTTATCTTGTTACTTTTACATTTTGGAAACGATTGTGCGTGACTGCATGGAATGGTAGAGATTATTGGCCAAAGGAGTCTTTCCCATTCGCTTTTTCTGTTTGAAAGAAAGCCTTCACGTTTACAAAGTGGTTCACAGTTATTATGATAGAGAAATTCATCTGTCACTGAATCAAATCTTGCAGGTGCATTTGAAGACTGTAAGTTACATTGTAGCTAATCACTTGTACGTGTATCTATATGTACTATATGTACCTCCCCTTTTTGGTTGTCAAACAGTGGAATTGCATTTTTTTTGGCCCAAGCCATACAGCGGTTGCATGGATAGATCATAGCGTACTATGCAGGAAGCAGTAAAGTTCATCAACAATTCATTCACTTCAACATAGAACATCTACATGCCCTTTTCAATGAAATATCAAATATTCCAGACCTAAACTACGGACTAGCGTACCGATTTCTCTCAGATGTTTAAGGTCCCATAACATGTTCAAGCAGTAACTTAAGTTTTTATCTTTGTAATACATTTCTGCATTCTAGTCTCTAGGGTCCTTGTTTATTGTGTGGCTGTACATGTCTGTAACCCCCTCCGGTAGCCCTGTCATTCATTATTTTATTTGATGTTCGTTTGTGCACGTGTAACGTTTTCCCCGTTTGTTGTTTCTTTTGTATATTCCTGTTAGTTTCTTGTAATGGCATGTCTGAGACAAATTCTGCTTTTAAGGTTTTGTCACTTCCAGTGGCCTCTTTTTCTCATACATTGTTAGTGCCTGTAATTTTGCCATGAGGAGGAAATGAATGTAATGTAATTGATTTGAAATGAACAAAGATCTTGGTTTCTTTACACATAAAATTTAAAACAAAAAGGAAAAGGACATTAAGATAAAGGCAAATTGTCTGATATCTTACCTTGAAATATGCCTGTAATTTCTTATCCAACGTTAATTGCAAATCACTCCACACATTGACGCAAGGTTCCCGCACCTGAAGCGTGAGAACTGATTCCTAGGTGCCGTATATGACCCCGGGAATGGACCGGACAGTGCTTGTATTTCGGAAGGCGGCTGGTTAATTTGTTTTTCTCTATACATGCACAGTTTACAGCTTACTCCAGACTGGGCTACCATGCCTGCGCTGAATAATTCATGAGTCAAGTCGCTAAACTCTGATTGGGCGAATTGTTTGTTGGTGGCTGTTAAGCTGACTGATCCCACTTTGAATTATTCATGAATCAGACAGTCAACTGCCATGATTGGATTGGCCGTGGTCTGGAAGATTATGACATCATGGGGATGATTGCTGATGGAATTGTTGACATTTCAGATTGGTTGGCTGCACATTAATTATAAGCCTTCTGCCTCTGGAATTGTGTGCTAAAAAATTAAATGTCTGATGATATTCCGAAGAGCAGTGGGAACAAAATGTGATGGTCTCTTTGTACATGTTTGCTGTAACTAAAGCGATGAGGAAAGTCAGATGGTTACACATACAGAGCTGTACTGTAAATTCTCTTGATAGGGTACAATTTATGGACGAGTACACCACGGCTTCCATTTTGACCTCTAAGGATAGGGGCCCCTCATGTGCGTGGAAATGTGACTTACAAACATGATAAATGTGAAACATGTCAAAGGTTAAAGGGGAGGTATACAATTGAAATGGAGTCCTTAGGGAAGTAGATGTTGGAGACTGTCATTTAGTATTCATGTGTTTTGAAACAAAAGGCCAACCTGTGAACCTGTGAAGTACATGGTGGTACATGTACAACCACAGTGCAAACACCATGGGGGGGAGGCTAGGTAATGCACATGTACACAGGGCAAAATTAAGGGAATAAAAATATGCTTGGCTGGTCTTAAACGTGCGTTTAAGACCAGCTCAGGAGAATGGATGCGATTAATGGCAAGGAGAGGCATTTATCAACATTCAGTCTCCTGAGCCGGTCTTCCAAAACTTTTAAGTTAAGACTGGCCAGGTACAAATTTATTCCGTTCATTAATACTGTACTTTTTTAGTCAGAGTCAAAAGAAGTCAATGATAGATTTCCACCGATTTTTTTTTTTTTTTTAACCTTCATTTTCTTGAACACCCCCGTCCATTTTATGGTATATTTCTCGTGCAAATTTTCCTGAAGAATCTCCATGTGACTTGGCGCATGAGACACGTTTTGCGTGCCACGTTGTACCCAGACTCTTGACCAATAAGGATAGATTAAACTGTTTCGTATCCAGATGCTGGAGCGTTTTTTTTCATGCAGTGGGCTTTATCAAATCTCAGCGGGCATTATCAAATGTTAATACATGGCCAGGTTGTGCGTTGTTGCATAGGGAAACTGTCTGAGGTATTTATGAAATATTTTTTAATATACTGTCATGACATTAGCATACTTTCACTTATTAAACAGCCACCCGGGGCAGCTCTTATGGTATGCACCAAGTCATTCTAACACTGGCTTCGAAGGACATTAAACGATGATGAGGGTAGCCCCAAAAGAAATCTTGAATTGGAATCACTGCGTTTGCCATAGGACCTGTACAAGATTGGGTAGTTCTAATTTATTTAGGCTCAAGTATCGCTCGTTAACTTAATACAGTTAAGGATTATTTGATGAACAGAATACGTAACAGAGCACGGAAGTGAACGTGTTTATCATTCAGATTCGGGGCCAATGTGTGCTGCAGAACAGTTGCAAACAGCTCTCAACAATGGCCAGACTGACCCAACCCTCTGGGGTATCATCTGTAGCATTAACTTGAAAATTGTTCTTTGTTTGATTTCTTTCTTTGTCCTGCAGCACAATGCGCCCATCCCACAGGGCGGAAGAGGCTGTGTCCAGTTTGTCACCCAGTACCAGCACTCCAGCGGCCAGCGCCGAGTCCGTGTCTCCACTCTGGCAAGGAAGTAGGGACAGTTCTGATATTTGATTTTCCCACTGTAACAGTACATGTACATTTAACTGTGTGTATGTACATGGCTATACTTTGCCCTCTGACAGACAGTAAGGGAAGCAAAAGTAGAAATGGCTGTTGAATAGGTGAGCATTAGCCTGCGTGTAGCCCCAGTCCACTTTACGGTGTTATATTTCAGAGTGGACGTAAGGTCCCACTCGACCTAAGACTATTGCCGTCGAAAGGAAAAGATTTAAACCATACAAATTAGAATGCCATTATGTTGGCATGGATTGTGTGTAACTCCGCACCAACCTTAACTGTGCCCAGTGCAACAAAGTTCTGTGTGAGATATAAGGAACCTCGAGGGCCAGGGCTACTCGCAAGGCCCTGTCCAGGTTGGAGCAAGGTGACTGGATATTGTGATCGCTGCTGCAACAGTATTGTTTCAGATAACACCAAGCCATGAAAAATGTCAGGAACATAGTTTACGGCAGATTCTAAGAGAAATTTGTGGCAGTCAATCATACTTCAAGTGAAAACCAGTTTCCTACTTAGGGTAAACATGAGATCCAAACAAATGTGATGTCACGAAAGAGTTGCGGCCGCGTCTATTTGATTTGAAATGTGTTCAACTTCTGCAAATTTGCAGCGTGAATTTGATCTTATGTTGCAATTCTGCATTCTTGTTTGTGTGGCAGAGCCAGAAATAAATATGTTATTAAATACACATTTTTACACAGAAGTAGTTCCCCTTTAAAAATGTGTAGCTTTAGCTTTTTGGAGTGTGGTTTTCTGCTTGAGCCCAATTCTGCTAGAAGTCAGTGATTGAAGTCTGAGTGTAAACTCATTAGGTCCATTTTACATACTGTGTTGGGTTTTGGTTTGGGTTTTTTATTTTTTTGTTTTTATTCCTTTCAAAGTTTTAAGTCCTTTAGTCCTTTTGTTTTTGGCTTTTTTCCCAGTACTTTTTCATAAATTATATTTGGTCCCTTTTTTTGAAATCAACTATTGGTGTCTGAGTCCTTATTAATTCAGTTCCCTGCTACTTGTCCTTCAAAGATCCTTGGTTTAGTTAGAGTTTTTGTTGTTTTGCGAGTTCCCCATAGTGTGCCATTTTTCCCTGTTACATTTGCTTTTCATCACAAGTATAAATCGGGCTTAAGGCTTTGCAGGGTCTCAACTTGAAAGGTACTGAGATGCTGGTGTTATTTGTTGCACGGCCGTAGCTAAACTTGATCAATACCTTTTGTGAACCACTGGTTGATATGTGGCAGGTAAGCTGTACATGAAATATATTCTGGGTACCAGTCAAAATTGACCACTGGTGGACAAGTGATTGTTGTTCAAACTTGCCCCCTAGATGTGGACCCAGCTTTATAGACAGCTGTGCCAAACAGTTCTTAACTTGTCTCCAGAATATTGTATGGTGAGTGACGGAAGTTAACTTTTTCTTTGCCCGTCTTCTCAGCTGGGCCGACGCGGCCATCAACATCCAGCACATAGCGGCCGGCTTTGACCAGGAGGCGGCGGCCGTCCTGATGGCCCGCATCGCCGTCTACCGTGCCGAGAACGAGGAAGGGCCCGATGTGCTGCGCTGGCTGGACCGCATGCTCATCCGGCTCTGCCAGAAGTTTGGGGAGTACCACAAGGACGACCCCAACTCCTTCCGCTTTGCCGAGAACTTCACCATGTATCCCCAGGTTGGTGTGTGGGGCAGGCATCCGAGGGCGTGTCTAGCCATGCTAAATGTCTGGCAGTGTCCGCTTCGTGCAGAAATGAGAGAAGGTGTTTTTTTTTGCGCGGACTCACCATGTGCACGCACAGTTCATAAGTATTTGGTTGTGACCACGCTGAGCCACCAAAAACCAAATCCTGTTGCATTGTACTCTGTACAGTCTTTGCGTGTCCACCAGGCATGTGGTCCAAAGTCCCTACCATCTTCTCTAATCTTTACCATAACAGACAGACGGTACTTTGCTATGAGTGTACCGGGGATGGCATACATGTTGCACCGTTTACCACTTCATGCCAGATGGCATCTAAACACACAGAGATTCCCTATGTCACAGCGCACTCATACACTGTACCAGTGATGGAATGCCCTTGTCGACATAATCCTTCGTATATTGGGCAACATAAATTTCAATGTCAGGAGTTGTCTGCTGTCCCACTCTTGAACAAGGGCTGTTAATATTGATTGTCTCCGTATAAAATGTACGGTTTTTCACCTTGGAAATGAAACTGGTGTTTTGGCATGTTGACTTTCAATCCAAACTGAGAATTTAAGTCAGATGAGTGGAAGCTTATCTGTAAGGGAAGAAAGACTTTAAAGTCTGCACGTTGGAGAGTCCCTAAGTCTCACTGCCGTGTTTGTAAGCTAGGTTTGCAGTTACCCTCATGGTTTTTAACGCTCATTGTTTGATAGATAAGACAACTGTGTATGACAATCCCAAGAAGAATTCTAGGGCGTCACCATGCATGGAAAGCTGAGCTACCGGTGTAACAGCTTTTTAAGGGAGGGGTGGGGAGAACTTTGAAGCCTGTCTAGCACTGCTGGTGATTTCACGTATGCACAATGATAGGATTTCACCAAAGTATCCCAAAGCAGACAAGACTTCATTGATGTTGTTTGTGCTTATCGATTGAGTCAGAGAGAAGGGAAAAGAAGTCGAATGATTGAACCTGCCGTGGCTTACTTTCCCATACAGTTCATGTTCCACCTGCGTCGCTCTCAGTTCCTGCAAGTCTTCAACAACAGTCCTGACGAGACGTCCTACTACCGACTGATGTTGATGAGAGAGGACCTGACACAGAGTCTCATCATGATTCAGCCTGTACTCTTCTCCTACTCCTTTGATAAGACAGAGGTATGACCACTCTCTCTGCTGCCCTCTTTTTCTTTTGTATGTTGAGACTGCCTTTCCACTTTGATACCAAAGCCCTTCATTGGTTCACCACAGCCTTCAGAATTGAGACTGTTGATGGAAACGGTGGTTTTACCGTATCAATTTGATTCCTGCTTCGAGACGTGTTGAATTGTTGAATTTTCAGCAGAGGTCCAAAATCCAAGATGCTGTTTTTAATTTCCACTCAGGACTTTAACTGAAAAAGTTACTTTTGCATTGTGTGAGTCGGGGGGAACCGTAATGGTCAACATTCCAGTTTAAAACATTTTGAAATACCAACAGTGACAACGGGCCGGAATGAATTAAAATGTGAAAGTACCTACTCCTTACAGTGAGGTACGTACAAAAAACAGACTTGTGGAGTAGATAAACACATCTCTATTGTCTGATTGAAGCATTCAGTGCAATGTTATCAACCTTTTGACGAGGCAGTACTGCATGGAGGAGCATTGGTGTCGCGGATGTGGGTCCCAGCCCCAAGTCTGATATCTACATGTATCTTTTTGATTTTCTTACCTTCTTAGCCCGTTCTCCTGGATACCAGCAGCATCCTGCCAGACCGTATCCTCCTCATGGACACCTTCTTCCAGATTGTCATATTCCATGGAGAGGTCAGTGATAATGTGCAATCCTTTCTGTCCGTTGGTCTTGCTTCGGTGTGACATGTGTTTAATCTTACCCATTTTCCAGATTCTGGGGTTCACAGATGTGAGAATGCGTTCAGTGACATTTTCCAGTGAGATCAGTCTGGAAAGCTTCAAAACAGGAGCCGAGAAAATTTCATTGTTCTGGCTGGTTCATGTTTGACAAAAAAGTAAATATAAATGCAGATGCATGGTCTTGAAAGTTTTTTTGTGCCGTGTATTGGCAAAAATTGAAAACACTTGACACGGTTCCCACAGTCATGGAAAATCCAAGGAGAAAAAGTTGTCCTGGAGAGTCATGGAAAAGTCATGGGATTTTATGGGAAATTGGGAAAAATGGGATGTTCTGGAATCCTGTTGTCAGGAAAACAAGTCATGGAATAAGTCATGGAAGTAAAGATCTTGCAAGGGTTGTTTTAGATAGACCTCTTTTGATTCACAAAATGTACGTAAATCGGTACATTGCAAGGTGCTTGTACCTTAAAGATGGCTTCTCTTTTTAGAGTCCAGGGATGCTTCATTCACCTGACACGTGGATGTTGAGCCTTGAGCGGGGTATAAAGTTACAAGTGGTGAAGGGAGACATATTGATTAAGCTATGCTGTGGCACCACACAGTAATCGCTTCTCCTGTGATTTGGTGGGGTTCTAAAAGGAACCAAGGAACTTGACAATTTGGGCAGTAAGCACTACTTTGTGCAGTCAGAAGACTGAAGGATTCCAAAGATGGAAGATGGTTATGTAGGGAAAGAGTGAGTAGAGCACAGAGGAGCACAGGATGCAACTCTGGAGAGTGAATCGAGTGTCAGGTGAGTGGATTTGGTGTGCGGTGAAATCTGACAGTGTTTTGTTTGACAAGAATGTCTCGTCTTGTCTTGGCCCGCGCGGCAGACCATCGCCAGCTGGAAGCGGGAGGGGTACCAGGACCTTCCTGAGCATGACATGTTCCGGCAGCTGCTGAAGGCGCCCAGGGATGACTCGCAGGAGATCCTGCAGAAACGATTCCCCATGCCCCGCTACATAGACTGTGACCAGAACAGCAGTCAGGTCAGTGCATGCCTGCAAGAGGGTGCTCTTGGATCCATTCCGGCAGAGCCCTGTATTTGCTCTTTGCTCACTGCCGCCATAAGCATGCAGAGCCTCTAACTGGCAGCTTGTACAATAGCTGAATGGCATGGTTATAAGAACTAACGCAGCACGTGCATGTTACATAAACAACATACACAACAATCACTGAACCAGCTATATTTGTTGTGTAAAGGTGCCAGATCAAGGCTCTGCATGCCTATGGGTGTCACCATTCTTGGAAGCAGACAGACGGGTGTATGTGCCAGTGTACACAGACTATTAGCTCACAATAGCTGCATGCTGTACTGCACACATAACAAACAGCCATTTTGTTTCCAAAATCTTAAGGTTCAGGTTCATTCAGGATGTTTCATGAGAATCGCGTCAGTGCAGTGCTCATTTAAAGGGATTCTTGTCCTAAAATGTTTCATCATAATGCGCATCTTTTCTCTCTGATATATCTAAAAGATTCTTTAATAACCAGAACAAGGAATTCAAATTAGTTTACATTTAAAACAATATATGTATTCCTGTATGTCTTACAGGTCTCTAAGGGAATAATCAGTGGTTATTTGAATGACTCATTCAAGAAGAGACCAATTCAAGAAATGTTTTGCATGTACAGACCATTTGAAATGAGATTTTAGTGTCGTCCATATTGGTAAAAGAAAGGCCTGCGTTAAACTCACTGTCTTCAAACTAATGTCCAAAGTTTGTCAGAGAATGGATTGTGTCTTACTATTATTCTGTTCTTTTGTCTGAAGATTTTAATGGCTCGAAAATCACTTCTCTGTTTGTGATTTTTGAGAAATGAAAACAAATTTTGTTTCTGAAATCACTTTTTGTACTTAGTTTCTTATAAAAGTTCTAAAGGAGAACATCAAGGGTTAATGGCTCAGTTGGGTGGAGCACATGTCATGTGTTTAATTGGTTCCAGATTCACATCCTGGCTTGGGTTACTTCTCGTTGCTTCAGTGAAGAGTGCCATTCAAAAGTTCAGTTGTGTTTTCACCTTGCAGGCTCGTTTCTTGCTGTGCCGAGTCAACCCCTCACAGACACACAATAACATGTACGCTTGGGGACAGGTAAGCGGACAACAGTGATTGGAAGAAGTTGATGAGTTTCTTCTTTTCAATGTGGGGATTTAGGGATTGTGGGGATTTTAGTCTGTTTGGACTCCCAGTAACGCTAACTACCTAGGCATTCTTGCTAGGAATCTTCCCAAATCCTCACTGTGCATTCTTTGTACTCGACCTTTTTCTGGGCGTCAAGTCCTAATGTAAATTGGTTCAGGAGGGGCTCCACCTTCCTCCATCCCGCCTCCAGATTCCTCAAACTCACTCGAATATTTGGATCTGGAAAGGTTAGGGGTAGTGGTGGTTGAGGATTCTAGAAGTGTGGTGTTGGAAAGATCCTGCAAATGTCAGAACATGGTGGTAATTAAAGTTTTAAATTCATTGTCCGTGCTCATAATATTGCATTTCTTTAAGGGCGATGAAACTGATTGATAAAACTGTTTGATATAAGAATACCTTATTAGCAGTGACAAAATTATTGCGTTTAGAAATTTCTAAATAAAAAAATTCTAAGATTTGTAGAAAAAATGTTGAAAATCTCAATAGTTGGAAATTTTAAATAAACATAGGGCTAACGTTGAATAATTCCAAGAAAATTGGAGGAACATGAAAGGCTGAAACAAAATTATATGTAAAAAAAAAAATTCTGTAACGAAATTAAATGTCAAAATCTTTCTGAAACGAAACTAATCGTTAAAAATGTTTGGGTGGGTTCGAGGAAGATTTTAGAAGCTGAAGTTATTCCTATGTACCCTGAAGGACCACAACTTTGTCAGTAATTTTCTACCATACTTGCCAATTAAGGAGAAATAGCTCTCAGGGATTCCAGTATTGATCCTGGATATTGCAGCATCTTTGCCCTGTTTTTCTCTGCCTCTACAGGAAGGAGGGGCACCTGTATTGACGGATGATGTCAGCCTCCAGGTCTTCATGGACCACTTGAAGAAACTGGCCGTCTCCAGCTCCTCTTAATGCTGAGCACTGCTGCTTATACAGGAGGGCATTTGTTCACGAATTACATCATTTGCAACCTACTACATCAACTACATGTTAAAAAATGCTTTTGGGAAGGCGCAGAGTGAAACACCCTTGTCTGTGTAGTTTTCTCTTTGGATGTCTCGGTAATTTATCTGTAAAGTTGTGTACAGGATATTATGTGGCATTGGCTCCAAAAGGTCTCAACCATACAACTCCAAGCACATGGGACTCTGCTGCCAAATTACAGTGTCTTTGATAAAACTTGGAACTATGTGCCTGGATCAGTCAATATATTCAAGGCCATATTTTACCACTTTAGTGACTTATTTGAAAATACAGCTTTTTGGGGGGCAAGCAGAATTAACTTTTTTTTCCTGTCCTTGTGTTTTTTCATTTTTCATTGTTCGAAGTGCATTTATGTGTCAAGTGTAAAACCTACTAGACTTTGTAAATCACATGTTGAAAAAAAAAAGTAACCTAACATAAATGGTAACTTCAAACTGGCAAGTGAAGTAGAAAACGATGACATGCAAAGCAACACATCCTTAGCTACAACTTTTCTATCAGCTCAGCATAACCATGTGTTTTATCCATTTATTTTGAGGGAAGTCAAGCCAAGCCAAGTAAAACAAGTGCAGTCTCTTTTTTTAAGTTCAGTCTACATCGCAGTTAATTTTCCCTTTTTGGCCAGTGACTAACTCTCAAATACTGTTGTTCCCTTCCTCATCCATCTATCTTGAAATTGAAAGCTGCATAATATGTTATTTTAATTTCCCTTTGTGCATTAAGGATCATTACCAGCATGGGTTGAAGATGCAGTCAGTTTAATATCCTGTCGTTCAGTGCGCCACTTCAATCACTGTTGGTTGTTTACGACTTTGGGCAAAATCCATTAATGATGTCTGCGATTTGGTAGTCCAGCTCAGCTTGTCTCTGCTTTCAATTTGTTTTTGTGCTGTGTTTGGAAAGCTCCAGCTGAGGGTTCCATGCTGAGCATTGTCGTCATCCTTTTGTGCCTATTTGTGTGAAAAAAAAACTAACCCCCACGAAGGCTGCTTGCTGTTGGATGTGCAGCTGGAATGGGAAAGGTTTTGACCATTGTGAACTTTGGCCACGGTAAATAAATGACAGTAAGCAATACCCTCAGTTGGGAGTTCATCAACATGTTTCAAGATTCATGTGCTCACGCAAGTCAAAAGTGAGCTGCTTATTACTTGACTCGTTCACGCAGTGGGTCGAAACCGAAAATAACCGACAAAAGGTTGACCTGTTTGGTGCATTAACTTAGGGAACAAGTTGTATTTGTAAAGCACTTTTTTCGGAGGGGCAAATTTTCAGGGGGGGGGCAACAAATTGATAAATCATTAACAGAGGAAGGTCACTTTTGAGGTTTTCAAGAAAATTGATGATTCTCATCCCCTTCCATCATTTGCTTGATCCTTTCCCCGCTTTTAATATTTAATGTGGTTTTTTGGGGGGGAGTTGAGTTGCAAGCAACAAGATTTTTCATTATTCATTGATGTAATAATTATAAACTGCTACTTCCCCAAATGTCAATCTTTACATTGGGCGATTCACATTTCAGTTATCTTAAGTACTCTAGCTTATTATGCGAGTTTTGTTTTAAGACAGCTAATTAAAAGAACCACCACACAGCAGTCGGAGGAATGAACTGTTCTCTTTTCATTCATGTCTTAACATGGCCTTTAATGATGCTCAGCAATGACTAAGGGCAGTAGAATGTTGGGCAAGACAATAATGTATGTATTTTGCATTTGGAATAATAAAGCAAGACACCCGAAGAGTGACATTCAGTTAGAAATACGTGGACATGTAAAAGAATACCGGCACGTGTTTGGCCAGCTTTCCTGAAATAACTGCACCATGTGGCATACATGTGGAACGATCTAAAGGACATGCATGAACTTAGTTACCGTGTGAGCAATGGAATCTACAATTCGCTTCCAACTAAAAAGATGAGAAAAAAAATCATTTGTATTGCATAAATTGAACCCATGAAGTTTCATATTTTAAAAATTCACCTACACGTATGCACGTTCCTCGACTCCCGCACCGTAGTTGCGGGGGACGTACACTCGACATTTCACCTATTTTGTGGGGACCGAAAATGTGGTGGGGACTAGGAAATGTCCCCACAACCAGACAACTTGGTTCAAATTTCCCACAACAAAAGAACTTGTCCCCTAAATGTGGTAAATGCCTACCCATGCTCCCTTTCTAATTTCACCAGAGGAGGTACATGTACTTATAAATGAATACAAAAATAATACACTCCTGATGAAACATCCTGCAAATTAAATACATGCATGGCATATTGACACACGTTGTCACATGCCTACCTGCCCTGTTTCAAATTGTAACCACAAATTGGACATGGAGAACAATACTGGACAGAAACTCTGAAAGGGCTGTTACAGCCATCATGTGCAACAGAGGGGTTTTTCAAATCACGGCTTTAATCCCTGACATCAGAGCTGCTGAATGTCTATAATTTTAGAACCACAATTTGTGAGTGGAAATACATGTACTTCCATCTTTGCGTTGTTGGGATGCAGTTTGAAAATCTTTAAATTTGGTGGCGGGGGGGATGTGTTGGAGACAAAACATCAAGCATTAGGAGACCCACACTGGCGCCATCTGCTGAATCAGATCACAGGCATGAGTTGCAGGTACATCACATCACATGGCAAGCAATTAACGAGGATTAATTCAGCAAACAGCAAAAATTCAACATTTGGCAAACACTTCGATCGCACATCGCAGATGAAGGTAGAGAAAATTGGATTTGCAACAGAATATGAGAATATCAGAGGCAACAAATACATAAAGTACATGTATGTATGGAAACCACAGCACAAGTGGATGTACATGTACCGGTATGCACCAGCCACTGAAAAATACATGTGCATGTACATTTTGGTGATCTTCTATTTAATCCAATGCTAAGATGCCACAGCTCTGTTAACCGATGATGTTTCTCTGGTGTAGTGAAAGTGAAGACAAGTGGCATACAAGGTCCTCATTCCAAAATCCGGTTCCTTGTAAACATTTTAGAGAAGTTCAGAACAGATTTAGAATTTGCCTCATTTGAATATATCATTTAGACCAACTGTAATTATTCGGGTGTTGGGTGCCTCTGGTGACCCAAACTTCCCACTGTACATACAGGTACATGTACAAACATGTACATGTATATGTTTTTAGGCAAAAACTGATGTTGTAGGGCAATGTACATATGTAAATGTGAGCTATTATAGAACCGATGGTTGCCCTTGTTTTGCTCCTTTGTTTTGGCTGAGGTAATGTGCAAACTGTACACTGGTTGTCCCTTTTGAGTGTGTGCTTCTCCCTTTCATTTAGTGGCAATTTGCAAAAGAGCAAATGATGTCATACTTTTTACACAGACCAAATCACAAAATGCAGAACATCTGTACAGAAATTCCCTGCACTTTTTTCATACCAAAATGTCTTCCTATATTGGCTGGAAGTAGTGTGGCTAATGGAGAAATCTATGCTCTTCCAATACTGAGCCTTTTGCGAATTCAATTTAAATAAAATCTGGTACACTGAGTTATCTGATTGCACATAAACATAATTTGAATTCACCAGACTGAAGACAATGTTCCTACAAGTATATGGTTGTACCTCATAATGCTTTGGCATAGTGACCACCTTCTCTGGAATGGTCTGGTTCCTTTGTGCCAATATCCATTGAAAACGGTGTATCGGTGCAAGGCGTCTCTTATGTAACCAAGCAAATGCTTGCCCCGAATCATGAGGTATAGCAAAAGTGTCTTTACTATGGAGAATTTTAACGGTTATGTTCATGTGAATTTAAAGAACTCAGTGTACCAGATTCTATTCAAATTCACCAAGCAACAGGCTTATTACACTCGACTGGATTTGTAAGAAAATCAACTCGAAAGAGACTTTCCAATTTCCAAGGCATGTCTGTATAACAGTATTTTTTTGCAGATAACTTGTGAATTCATGGTGTAGCCTTCAAACTCACACACTCAACAGCGATACCTTAGTGTGCAACATTACGCATAATGCTCACATTAATGATGTGTCTTGACATACAGAGAAAAGCATGACAAGTAAGATGCCGTGATGAAGCATGTGCTAATGGTCTCATGTCTAGGTCCTACTACTGAGGTACATTAGCTCCACAGCGTCAGTAAAGCAAGATGTCAATAGTTACATGATTGGCCAACATTAACATAAGAAATGCAGGTCTACAGGGTGCATGGATGAGGCAGGATGGCAAAATGTACTTACAGTACATGTATACTCAGCTTTATACCAGGGCATTTCAAAATGGTCCCAATACAAAATGTACATGTACATACTCATATTTTCTTGCGGTAACTTTACAAGAGGGTTAGCCATGTTCTTTTGTGTCCTTTCCTCATATAACGCCAACTTTCACTGATACATTCATGTCATGAACATACCGGTTAACATGTATTAGGATAAATTTAGCTGATGACCCATGAAGGTGGACTGGCATTGCTGGTGGCTTGGACGCTGTTCTTTACAAGGTATGCACCAACAGTTTACTTGAGCCATAGATCCCAGTGACACAATGCGTTTGCTATCCAAATTCACCTTAATGTATAACCTCAGTACAGATCGTCTGTGAAACATCTTCAAAAATACATACACCTACTTGTACGGTACATGTACATGTAGAAATGAATGGGGCTGAGGTACCTGCATCAGTCATACCGGTACTCGGGATTTCATGGTTCAGGAAAAAAACCACAGAATCATCAGTTCTGCCCCCCTAAAAAAAACCCTGACGCTTTCTTGCTCAATCTCTCTTCAATGGTACCCATTAAATAGAACTTCATTTCACTTGACTGGTTCCTTCCGTCATTTCATATACCTCATTCCCAGAAAGAAAGAGGAAAATGCATGTAGGGATGGAAACCAGTCTAACATTGCATGGGACTGGTACAGTACTACATAATGGGTGGCGCTTCGGGCATGAATTTGTTTGGCAACATGACGGACATCAACACACGAGCAGTATCTTTCAGTTTTCCACTCCGTTCCCTCTGCTTCACCTCATGGAAGTGAACATTTCATCTGCCACGTCATGAAATTTTTCTTACCAGAGAATAAGTTAACTTTGACCCAAATCTGGTACACTGAGTTCTTCAAATTCACGCGAACATAACAACTTCAATTCTCCATACTAAAGCCACTGTTGCTATACCTCGTGATCTGGGGCAAGGTTGTGCTTAGTTACACAAGAGATGCCTTGCAACAACTATTCTCGATGGATAAGAAAGGCGCAAAGGAACCAGTCCATTCCAGAGATGGTGGTCGCTATGCAAAAGCTTGCCCTGAATCACGAGGTATAGCAACAGGGGATTTCAAATCGTTATGTTTATGTGCAATCAGATGTAACTCAGTGTACCAGATTTTATTCCAATTTAACTAACAAGAGGCTTATTCATGAACATTGATTAGTTGTTCACTGTCCTTCATGGCTCTCATTCAGATGGCTGGTATTTCATCCAGTTCTTGGAGTGGATTAACACCACTTTCCTGTCTAAAGTACCGGTAGGCAAGAGGAAAATCCTCACACAACAGCCAAAAAAACAAACAAACAAACAAACAAACAAAAACCCCAAAAAAGAAAAACATCTCCCAGACACCAAGAACTTCTAAAAACTTACATGGAAAAAGTTGAAGTTAGCCCTTTTCAAAATCACCATCTGAAATGAGAAAATGTGCTTCCGATAACTTTCATGTCCGGAACATGGAAAAAAAAAACGACCATTTTAATACATGTACATGCACACCCCCTTATTTTATCTGAAAATCTGAAAATCAAAATTCATGACTTTTCCAGTATCGGTACTTTCCGGGATCAAAATATGACAATTTCCATAATTTTAACATCATTTTGCAAAGAAAGGTTGTTAGGTATTATAATTTTCCCATGACTTTCCAGGATCACTTTTTTCCCAGGATTTGCAAGATTTTCCGTGACTGCGGGAACCCTCGTTTATAATATTCATAGTAGGCCTACACTAAAATAAAGCTGAAATACCTCTACATGTATACGTTCATCACTCCTTCAATTTGAGATTTCATCCAATTGCCAATAAAAAAGTCACAGTGTTGTAAATCTCACATTAAGAACATTTCTGTTTTCACCAAATAATACTATAATGATTCATAATTTCTCAGGAGTCATAAGTCCCAACAGCTTGTGCGCAAACTTCTACATGTACCTGTGTCAGTTTGTAAGCACAGTTTAATTCTGACAGTGACACGTGTACATGTGTTCTGCATATAACATAGAATACTACAGCTTCACAACTTGATTTATTAATAAGTATGAGTTCTGTGTCTACTTTCATACAGTTACCTGCATGTACATGTACAAATATAAACATACAAAAATAATCTTTGAGGAATGGGGCTGGGTGAATGTAAGAAATAAAGCATGGCCATAGGTACGGTGTGTGCATCCATACTTGCTCCATTGTGGCCATACATGACATGTACATGTAGTGGTGGGGTCTACACGAGCGTTCAAACATATACAGCTGTACCGCTCCGTGTATGTAGAAATCCTACTTCCATGATGTACATGTACAGTACGTACATGTACATGCGCATATAGGAATCATTGTACGTGTACATGTAATTTACATGTACAGACATTGTACAGGTACATGTATGGGGGGTGGGGCGATAGATTTTCATCCCCACAACTTGGTCTCCACAAATTTCCCAACAAAAGAACTTGTCCCCTTATGTACATGTAAATTGGGGGAGGCCTACCCATATGAAGGAAAATGTACTTGTACATGTACAAATGTACCTGTATGGATGTACATCACAAGTCATGCAAGAGTGAAAGAACTCTTACCGTGATGTGAATTGTTGTGTATACACACTTTACTTGGGGGGGGGGCAGTGTTCCACACTGCAGGTACATGTACATATGTACATTGTCATGATTGTGTTTCACTGTGAGTTCAATTTTGCTAGCACTTGAAAGACAAGAGGTAAAGGGTGTTTTGAGACTTGAATGTTTTGTCCTTCAGTAAATATTGCAACTTACATGTATACTGCAGTTGTAAGTTTATCAGATTAATCTACAAATTTAAGTTCTAAAAATAAGTTCCCATTCAATCATGCTAGGCTGCAATGCAATGTGACAGGGCAGATAAATCCAAACTACATGTACATGTACCATAGCATGACTGACTGTTCACATCATTCAGAATTCATGATTCATTCCAGGTGGCAAAGGTCACTTTCTTTTCCCTAAATCTGACCTACCATAACATTGCTACCAAGGGAGATCCTGCCCTGAACCACATTCCACAGTGCTGTGGTTTCGGTGAGTGCAATGGTACGAATTATTCCATGTGGTGTCAGATGGGAGCTGACAAGCCGAGTGAAATGGTTCATGTACATTTCATCTGTGACTGAATTAAATGACTCTTTCCAGTGCATAGCTATGATTTCTTCATTACATTTTGTTGTATGCACCATCTGAATAAACCTTTGACTCTCCTACGAGAAACTGTTTTTGAGACCAAGCGACAGAACTTTCATTCACTGGTAGAGTGGAACATCTGTTTTGGGTTTTTTTTTGTGGCAAGGCCATGCCATGGGTCAAGGTAAAAAAAAGAAAAAATTGTGAAATGAGTTCAGCACTCCACCACTCAGCTTACGGGGATTTTATTCAGGCAATGTGCAATACTGGTTCTCAAAATCACACTCATTAACCTCTTAGTAACTTATATGTGTACACATACATGTACATGTACCGGTGCTTGTCAAAATGTATTCAGATTGATTTGAAGTACATGTACTTCATGCATGAACACATTTGCCATGTCTTCATATATGATACTCATCACAAAGGACTCATAAATCATATTAAGCTTTTACTTGTACTCATGGAAATGTACGGGTACTTGACTACCAAACTTCAAAATTTCAGCATGATTAAATAAATGGCCAATCGCATGGCAGCAGGCAGCCTTGCTTTCACTCGTAATTCTTCCGGTGTGGGAGGACAAATTTTATTGCAGCTCCTGTCGCGTCGAATATCATGTGATGAAAACTTCATCCATCTCCACTGGGGAATAGCGGATCTTGTCCCCGAAGTGATTAGGCGGTTTTAATCTGGGTCCTGACGAGCATTTGGTGAAGAATATGACGCCGAAGACAAACAATGACAAGATGCCCAGGGCACCCAGGCTCAGGAAAAACACGGCTACGGGGGGAACAGCCAGAGAGGTGGTGGGTGCCGAGCGAAGGCTTTCTGCTTCCAACAGCCGGAAATCCCACAAGTCATTCAGGGCCCCCACCGACCCATTCCTGGTGAGCCCTCCAAACAGGTAGTAGGTGCTGTTCCAGGCCCAGCTGGCACAGTAGGCACGCGGTGGTGGTTGGCCCTGGGGTTCTGCTGTCCACTCTTGGAAATCTCGGCCGGGTGGACTCGCGGACTCCTGAAAGTTCATCCACCTCATCAGCCTGAGGTCCAGCATCCACAGGTTGGAGTGGGTGGGGGACGTCTTCCCGCAGGTGCCAATACTCCCATCATCACTGTCCAATAACCACAGATTACTATCAGCATCCGACCAGAATGCTGGCTGGACCGGGCAGCTGGGCTGTTGGCTGACCCCAGCCACGCCATTATCAGTCCTCCCTTTACTTACTGCTGCATCCATGTTCACATGCTCCCACTCATTTGTAATTGTAGAGTACCTCCACAAATCACACTTGTTCTTGACGGTGCTACTTTTTCCTCGACAGGCTTTATCTGGTCCAGAGGGCTTTCCTCCTAAAAAATAGAGCTGGGTGTCATTTAATACCCAGGTTGCAGTTTTCCAATGTCCAAAATCAATCATTTCCTCTTGATTCTTTCCTCTAGCAATGGGAGCACCTACCTCTGTCCACTCGTAGCTCTCAAATGTAAACTTCCACATTGTCGGTGGAGTTGCAAGGTCAGAGGTCACGCCTCTGTAAATCCACAAGGAATCGTGGGTGCACCAGTGCGCCATGTTGGTTCTCACGTCGGGCTGCAAGCTCTCCGTCAACAGCACCCATGACTCGTTGTGTAAGTGGTACAGCCAGGTGTCACTCAGGAGATTCTCTGCAGACCGGGCCCCTCCGTAGACCACGACCGACGAGCCGGCTACTCCGCACACGGCTGCACCATATCGCGGTCCCGGCCAAGCTTGCTCCTTCCCCCGCCGGACGTTAGTCCATTCCTGCGAGGGCATGTCGTACAGCCAGAGATCGTTGAGTGGGGTTCCACTGCCCTCTTGCCCACCAAACATCCAGAAAAGTCCAGCGGTGGGGTGTGTCCATATCCCGCTATGGGCCCTGCAGCCAGGATACTGGTTACCAGCCGTTAGAGTGCTAGGCTGATTAACCAGCCTCGAGCCATCCAACCATGTCCATACTGGAAACCAAAAACCATAATATGATTACAATTACAAAGAAAGGAAACGAGCAAATGAGAGCAAAATAGAAAAAGCAAAATGCCAACTGAAATTGAGGATCTTACCATGCAACCTAAAACCCTCTGGTTAGTGGTGTGCTTTGATGGGTGTCATCAGCTGGTTACTGACAACAGAATATGTACATGTACCCACACGGTCAGGTGTCCATGGAGGCATGATCGGTATTAAAAAATCTTGTGGGGAAAGAGACTGGACAGTGCTATGCCAAGAATCCTCTAAAGTGACTCATGCTATGCTGGTACACTATGCCTTGTGATACGTGTACATGTACTGTACATGTGCCAACATGTACATTATTTTGGAAGCATTTTTTGGACAATGATTTGATATGAATTTTATAGGCAAACTGGCTGATGACAGTTTCGGTTTATTTTTGGCAAGTGTTACAAAGAAGGCCTTGGGTAATAGGCCTGAGAAGAGGAACATGCCATTTTGGTCAAACACCTGGTATCCTTGTCAAGCTGGACTCATTACACATGTAAAAACGGGGGCAGATCCAGGAATTTTCTAGGGTTGGGTCAGGCTGGAGATTTTTTAATGTCTCTCGGACAAGCAGAAACGAGCATGAAACATTATCCATATGCACTGTTTACAACAGTATTGGGGCACTAACCATACTTTAGTTAGGCCAACATGTACATGTACATACATGTACATGTACACGTACAGCGTATATATTTCCTTCCTACTATTTTCCCAACTTTTTTTCCATTTTTTGTGTTTTATTTGTCTCAGAGCAGGTTTTATTGGACCCTCCCCTGAATCCTCACCTGTGTCAAGTCTGATCATGGAAAAAGTCAGCTCAATTGGTAAAACAACAGCAAAACAGCGTCACCTACACCAAATTTTAACAAGTACATGTGCGCGCCACATTCTTTTGTGAAACAGCCAAAAATTTGGTGTTGCCCAAAGGAACACCAAGCATAAAACGCCATTTTCACCGCACATGCATGTACATGTACGCGTACATGCTTGCATTCCATGTGTGGTGCGGCACCTTGCAGCCAAGGAAACTGACTGTGCCTGGCATCCATTCAATTACAGTCGGCAAGTTTGATCAAGGATCACTAGTTAACCAGCGGTTGGTTCGTGACAAACATACATGTACCAATACCAAGTGCATGTGCAGCGAAGTTGAAGTGCGAATGACCCTAGTCAACCGTTGTCAGGTCGTTAGGTGGAAAAGGTGGCCGCAGAGAGGGCAAAATAGCAACAACAACAACAAAAAATGACCGTTTACTAGTGACATACAGTGTACTGTTTTTCCGGCACTGTTCTTAGAACTGGGGTCCTCTCTGCACTGTGCTGTTAAACATGATTTATGGCAACCTCGGTAGGCTGGTCGCAAATACATGTAGTTGACAAGACTAGTCCAACCATCGTCGGCTAACGTGCGTTCAGTCAGAGATAGTCAAACTACATGTATGGTCCTTGATCAAAATTGCCCTGTGCTGTAAAGAAATCCTAACTTTCTACTGGTACTACATGTATTCATTGTACATGTACTTCATTGGATCCTACAGCATTGGATTTACCTATTGAATAATTTAAGCACTACCTGTTATGTACAAACATGCAAATGTTACCAGTACATGTACATGTATGTAGGATTACATGTACACTTACATGTACCAGTATTACATGTACAATGTACATGTGTACATACTGGTATGTACACACTGTATTGTGAACCCCCTAGAGTAGGTGATCTTGGTTTGAATCTTTAAATTCTTGTCCATTTCAGATCACAGAGAATGCATGCACATAATAAAAACCTGAATAACTTACATGTACACAATATTCATAAAATCTGAAATTGTTAACCTGGTTTGTCTATAGCTAAAATGCAATGAGGCTCAAATGTGTTGGCAGTACTGTACCTGGAACGCTTCCCTCATTAGCTGACACCAGCCACAAGGAGAGGTAAATGGCCAGAACTATGGGTAGGCGGGCCACCAATGCGGATGCCATGCCGAGATGAGAACATCACACCGACGCCCGCGATCCCCCAAGATCTGAAGACATCATCGTCATCAGCTCATCCGAGTGAACCGACGCCACGACCCATGCAGGATTTATTACGACGCCTCATCTACATGTATATTCGCCACCAACAATTACTGTACCCAACCATTGCATGTGGTGTCCGACCTTTCTCATATCAAGTCATGTGAAACATTTGCTCACTATACACACTGGCGGACAGGAAGGGGTGATCCATCATTATGTCCAGGATGTGTTAAATGAAGGTGACTTAGTGTAAAGTCACTTGCATTTCCAAGGATGGCCTTCATATACCTCAATGTCTCACATACTGACACGCAAAGCAGACTCGGTGGCCCTTACCCACCAATGACCTGGCCCACTTTTCAGGGTGTGTCCTGTTCCTTGTGCTATACAGACAAACTGAAAAATAACAGGAAAAAGAAACGACAAAATTAAGTACACAGGATATACAATTTTTTAAAAAGAAGCCTAAGAAAACACTTCTGATGAGCTTGCGGTGACTCAGCCTGAAACTTCACAATTCCAAGAATTGACAGCAACGGCTGAACAGACCAGGTATTTGCTTTGATTGCTTCAAATGCTCTCATGTCATGGACAATTCTATAATCAGACTATGGCAAAAAAGCCCACGAGGGAAGTTGCGTTGGACCTCTACATGAATCCAATGACCAGAGTAACACTGGTCATTTGCAAGGACCTGGGTACTATCATTTCACTGCGCATGTGCACTTATACATGTATGTAATTTGAGAAATTCACACTTTTTCAAAAGTCAGACTTTTCAAAGATTCATGTGACTAGTGTTTAGTGAGGTTACAAGATTAGCAAAAAATGATTGTTCCAATCTTTTTACAAGATCTTTCTGCCCTCCTCACACTGAATTTTAAATTTTTAATCCATTAGGATTTAATGCATTCGTCTTTCACATGTTCATCAAAGCCATCAAACCACAAATACGATGTACAAACTGCACATGAAGTACACATTTATTGTACCCTCAGATCCCATATAAGCTATCACGTACACGTATATGTAACCCCAAATTTAGGTACCGCCTCCAAGTTGCAATCCGTAAGAAATAACAGCTCAAGCACAGCACACAGTGCATACTACCGTACATATCATGCTAACTCCTAGAGGCAAAGCTTAGAACTGCATACCAGTACCAGTACCCTCTGTTTTACAGTATGTCTCCTGGGCCCAACGTTATAGTGCTGCTTAATGGCCCATTTCGTGCTTCATGAGTGCTCCCACCAAATGTTCTACCTCACTGCAAACACTCAGCCGCTACAAAATTTAGCCCTGATTAGTATATGGCTAGCTCCTTATCTGAGAACCTCAATACACGTACACCAGCTTCTGAAAAAACTGTACTGATACACCTGTACATGAAAATACATGTATGTAACTGCTGATGTCTTTCACTAAATTGTTCCATGGATGCACAGGTGTTGCTATAAATAAAAGGCGGCTTCCTGCTTGCACATTAATATGCAAGTACACTGAGCATGTGGAAGTGTTGACCTGTATTCCAGATTGACAATCTCTAGTCCAGCCAGATAGGAACTTGAAGCCTCTATGCATCATAAACAAATCAGCCATATGTCAGCACCTACAAATAAGGGGTGGTTTATAGGGTCTGTGAAATTTCCATGCATCAAATATCCCTCCACTGGGGCACAATTGGCAACTTTGGGCCAAACTGCCTGGTTTCCTGCCTGGTAATGAGGTTTGCAGCATATGACAGTGTAGGCACCATGAACAGAGTACAGACATGAAGTACTCACAGTTGGCAGGTGTGAGGAAGGGCCGACATGGACCTTAATCCGCAAAGGGCACATGTCACCACTTCACCACTCATCATTTGATGTCAGTCCAAAGGGCAGCCATTGTATGAAAGGTGCCCTCTCAGTCTCAACTGAGTTCATGGGCACGCACGGTACAATGTACATGTACATGAACACCAAAACTTCTAACAAACTGATTCCATTCTGACGTTATACCCACATAGACCAGTCTAAAAATATCGCATGCTGGCAAATGCATAAAAGGCACAGCTTCCACTCTATTGCTATTTTTTTCTCCATTCCGTCAAGGTTCAGCGGATCTGAAGAAAACGTCTACCCCATGGATATAGCAGTTGTATACACAAACAAGTGCACTTGGTAAGGAGGATAAAAAAAATCTGTACAAGGAGATCAAGTCCAAAACTGCACATTTAATGCACAGATGCACATGTAAGTATATGTGTATGCTCACTGTAAAAACTGAACACTAATGATCACATCTTACCAATGCTTTTAAGATAAGAATGGTACATGTACATACAAGGAACAATGTGTGCCGGTAACTCCTCCATGCATGAACATACTTGTATATGAGTAATTCCACAAATTTGGGGTCCTTTTTTTTCCGTGCCCCTGTCACATCTGACATGATTTTGTAAGTTCAGAACACATTTTCTGATTTCCAAGAGTGATGAATCAACGCAAATTACCCGCCAAACAAATTGTAATAGTTAGAAATCAATTCCGGTGATATTCCCATGTCAACTAACAAAGGCCAGATGTAACAGGGACACAAAAATGTCACACATTTGGACCCCTAATTGCTGGAATTACCCACACGTACACATATGTACACATGTGTACATGTCGTATATACAGTAGTTATGAAGATGTAGGAATTTCTCTGTGTTACGAATAAAATGTTCGGCTGTGTTGGTCTCCTAAAGACAAGGCTAATGGACTTTACAATATGCTCAATATATTATTTAAACTGAAACCACAGATTACTGTAACTGTAGGTCTCAGAAGTATAGCAACATAATAAGCTTCACTGCAAATTACACGTACATGTACATGTATAAACATGTACTGTACATGTACATGTATAGTAGCTGCACTACATACTGTGCATACACATGTACTGTACTGTACTGTACTGTTATACAAAAGATCAAGCTGTACATGTACTTCTCAGACAGAACAAATTTTTAAAGACTTTTTCAAAAGAAACCTGCGCTACATGTAATTGTAACCACATGTACTGGTACGTACATGTACATGTATGTGCACAGCTACATGTAGGTACATGCACCTGTACATGTGCTCCATTTAAATTAAAACTACATGTACACAGACAAACCAATGCTGTCAGACTGTGCATGTAGTCTGTAGAGTTCATTTGATACATATACATGTGTACACGTATACATGTATGTCATGTACATGTGAATCATAGACAGTATTTGTCTACATGTGTGTTGATCTGTACAGACTTGCACCACATACATTTACAATACAAGATTAATACTGCCCACGGGAATGCCAGGAACTATAAGTTTGGGTTCCACTGTTTTCCATCTACCTGCCACATCTGACGTACATATGTTGTAAGTCTAGAAGCCTATTTAACTTTAACAACTTTACATGTAGATTTGCTCATGGAGGACTTCCTCCATGATTTGCTCAATGGATGCCTCAAATGAAGTACTGATATTACCTGTGGTGATTTCCTCTCTACACGAAGCAACGACAATGTACTAGTACATCCTGTGGACAATAATGCACAGGGAATTCTTGAAGAAACGTGATTTCAGTTGTGTTCACTCCTCATTAGAACACACTCGCACTGCACATGTACAGGTACAATATACCAGTACTTCTGGACAACATGTTTTTTTTACAAGTGGGCAGTATATGCAGCCTTAGGCCACTTTTTACCCTCACTTTTTGGGGATGTACATATAATGTGTGATGTCCATCGCGACTGCATGTGCACGTAGCGCCAGCCGCTACCAAAACTATTATAGACTGGGCCCCACATGTTTAACTGTTTGAAAGCATTTTGAGCTTGTGTATGTACACAGGACATAAGACCACCTTGTTCGTCTGGTTTCCAGATGTAAATGTAAAATACAGAAATGACATCATCTGAAAAAGAGTGCCTGACCAAGTGTATGGGGAACTGAAGGGACTCCTTTACTGTACATATTTTCCAACCATACCCCATCAAAAACACGTTAAAATTAGCAGGATTCCAGTTGATTAAGCAAGTTTGGCAGCTTTTGGATATCGTTTTATACCAAATAAAAAACCTTTTTTATTTTGCCAATGCGCAGGTCTACGGCGACACACGCACTGACCAGAAACCAGAGAGTTTTTGGTTGGCCTTTGTAAGACTTAGCTTCTAATGAGATACGGGGTACATGTAAATGTGTTTTAAAAATTTACATACATACATGTACAATACATGTATACTGGGTACAAAAGTACATGTTACTTCTTGTTTCAGTTCCATACTCTCAGTACAGATATTCATGTGGATGTAATGACACCAGGAAATAACTCTGTCTTATTTGCTGAATCTGCTTTGTAATTTCAAGATAAATATTTTGGAGTGCATCCTGGCCTGGTGTACGTACATGTACATGTACAATACTTGTAAGTACTGAGATAATAATACATGTAGTGGTCGCAATGCAAACTCTAAATATATCAAAAACTTGTTTCTTTGTTGATTGATTGTTGTGTATTATTTCATTGCAATACTGCAAGCAAGTCTACTCAGAATGTTTTCAGAGAGCAAAAACGGAGAGAGGATGTAATTTTTCACGTTTTTAATTGTGTCTATTTCCACATCCAAAGAGGGCCAGGGATAAGGTAAGTGTAAGTTGAGGGCAATTTTAACCCTAACACTCCTCAGTCCTCCAACAGGTGAAGGATTGAGGAGGGTTAGGGTTAACAAGATTTTCCATGATTTAAATGTACTCATACAGTACTTGAGATATTTATCACTGGTCTAATACCACGACAGGCTGATGGGTGTGTTGTGCACAAACTCAAAATACATATAGCTTCACTGTCCGTGTGATGTTAAAAGGATCCGACTGTGGATTTGGTGATGAATTTGTCTCAAAGCACACTTTATTCCCCCCCAAAAAGAAGAAACATTGAATATCAACAAACCAGTCAGATAGCAATATGCATGTACTGGTACATGTACTTCACGATAACTCCCAAAAGTGAATTTATCAGCTTCAGATGGTACAAATGTATGTATAGTTACTGTAGCATGGTCCCATCGGTCCCAAACAGACGGGAGCATCTAAACTACAGGTGTACACATGGTGCTACACTTGGGTCGATCCAAGTACAAATACATGTACATGTATTGTTCTGTTCATGTACAGTCTAGGGCACAAGTGTGCACTATTACACGAACAGGGTACAAATACATGTACTACCGATATACATGTAGCCTGTACGGTGCCATTTGGTTTGTATCAACAACACCTGCTTGTAGAATTTAGTGTTTATTACTCAGGGACATGATCCATATGGATAAAATTCAACATCGGCAATATTTGGGACTAATTCTGTCACGGATAAGCCGCAAAAACTTGGAGAAGGTAGAGCACTTTGCGGTAAAAATTTGCCAAATGCTGTTGGGACCATTCCAACTATATCATGGAAAAGACTGAGAATCTTCTTGTATTGCCATTTACAATGACTCCAACAGTCACGCTTTCTTTTTCTGATTCGCAGCTCTGGAAGCTCAAAGATCTTTTTGGAGGAAAATTGTTGAGTGGTTTGGTTCCTGTCTTCTAAACGGGTGAAAGTTTGACAAAGTCACAACGATACTGAAACAGATTATGCCACAGAACAGGGGTGGGATCGGAGAGATTTGAAATATCCACAAAATAATTACCAGAGGGTTTGAGGTCCCCACACCAGCACAAGGTCTTATGTACATATAGATGTCAGAGATCTCGACTCTTTAACACAACTCAGGGCAACTTGACCGTTGAGACAACTCAACTGGAGGGGCATCTCGACTGTTGTCCAAGTCATCCGTTAAGGCAAGTCTACTTTGATGTGGAGACAACTTGACCATGAGAGGCATGTACATGGAAAAAAACGTCCGCGGCTAGCACGAGAGCGGGATATTCAATGACTTGAGTGACGTTGACACATCAGGTTGGGCTTGACATGAATGGAAGTGAGCATGGTGGCACAGCTTTCACGGGGCTGTTGGGCAACTAGGCAGCATTCGGGACCACCTCACCCATCCCAGCTCGGATTCTGGAGGGGTTGGGGTGTTGTTTCTTTTTGAGGGACTTCCTTTTCAACTTCAAGAAAAGGTACATGTACATGTCTGTATGGGAGAATTTGCAAGTGAGCAAAGTGGCTGTAAAACGAAGTAGAGATTTCAAATGGTAAGGAAGTTGTTCCAAGCCTGACAAGCCACGATAGACGGTGCAAAGACTAACTGACTGTACCCAATAAACATGCCTGAGAAATTCTTCCATTTTTGGTAAATTCCAAATAGGCCTATCAACTGGTATTACTTCAAATCCTTGTGAGACCCTCCCATCTCGCCTCTGGTGTACAGCCCACAAGGTATCAAAACCTCACGAATCGACTTGTCTCAACGGACCACTTGTCTCAAAGGACCACTTGTCTCTCCATCTCATGCCCAGATGGTCCAGTTGTCTCAGTGGTTGAGTTGTTCTGATTAGAGTTGGCAAAAGGTCAAGTTATCTGAGCACCAAGTAACTCCTCCCACATTAATCATTTTAATTCTTATAAATCATGGCATCTGAAATTAAAAAATTTGCAATTTCCAGATGTCATGAACATTATTATTGCTGGACAGTGCTGGTTACTTAAGCTGATAACCATGGGTCTGACAGTGTTGAATGTTATCACTTGATCATAGGCCTAACTAATATTGGTTTACAGTCACTTCGCCCCATTTCCACGTCGCCCCTAACCACTTCCCCCCAAACCACATCGCCCCATCTCCACTTCGTTCATGCTAGAGCGTGTTACAAGCCTCTTCAAAAAATGGCCGAGAGAGGAGTTCCACAAACGACATCATAATGGAGTTATACATGTACATATACATAAAACTCTAGGGTATTCACTAAATTAATGTCGACTGCGTTGTTCATGTTGAATTAATACATATGGTTAAACTACATATACATGTAGCATAGGGTTTGTTTCTCATCCTTTTTAAATTTACTATTTCAAAGCGATACACAATTCTGTACACATCGTTCTGGTAACTGTCAATGTATCCAGACAGCTGTGCCCCAGCGATCGGATAAACCTCGGAGTGCCGCGGCAGGAAATTTTGTGGGCACATGTTCGTAAGTTTAATTTTCGGTTGTTTTGCTTGTACTTGAAGTACAAGCAAAACAACCGAAAATTAAACTTACGAACACAGAAAATACACACACACTGACAAGATACAAATTCTGTAAATCAACTTTACGAAATCTTGCAGTGAGGTACATGTACGGTCACCGAGGCATGAATAGATTGGTTGCCATGCTCCATCACGCACTCTCTTGCATGGGTGCGGCGCGGCGTGAACCAGTGCTTTGTGCACGTGCTTTTACCACAGCGACAGTGAAACACAAAGAGAACTTGTGAAATTAGCAGAAGTTGCTCTTCAAATGTTGCGATTGTAACTGGGAAAACAAGTAAACGCAAGCGTTATAATGAGAAAAATGTCATTTAGAGGTGTCTGTGAAGACAGAAAAGACAACAGGATTTATTTATTTGTCTTTCTTATATTCAAATTCCTTTTTTAGGCTTCTTTTTTCGGGAAATCAAAAGCATTGTTTTGGCCTTTGCAAGTTGGATTCTCCCAAATTCATTTGGTTGCTGAAATGTCGATGTTTTCATTTGTTCCATCTAGGCCCATGCCTCTGTTACTAAATAACAGAGTGAGTGATAATTGGTGGGGCAAAGTGGAAATGGGAGGCAGTGGAAATGAGGCGAAGTGGGGATGTGGCTAAGTGGCAATGGGGCGACATGGTTAGGGGCAAAGTGGCATGGGGTGAAGTGGCATGGGGAGAAGTGTTATGGGGTGAAGTGGCATGGGGTGAAGTGGCATAGGGTGAAGTGGCATAGGACGAAGTGGAATGGGGCGAAGTGGCATGGGGAGAAGTGGCATGGGGCGAAGTGGCATGGGGAGAAG